AGAACAAAGTCTAATATGATCATGTGGTTTCTCATCTTCTTGAAGCTTTTAGACTTAGTTTGTGGTCAGCTTCAATCCCTTTACACTCTTTGGTCTTTCTTTGAATAAGCTATAGAGAAATGAAGTAATCATATACTTGTCGTTGTATCTCTCTTTCTTTTTTGTTTCCTGGTTGCTATTTTACATCACATCTCTTTCTAACTATCATTGTGGAAGAGAAGGGAGATGATAACTTCAGATGTACTACAGAATAACAATTTGTTTTGCATTTTTAAGGATTATGTTTTCTACTTCTGGTCATTCTCCTCATCACACAACATAACAAACTTAAAAAGAAAAGCAAAAACACTACTTAGGAATCTGATACTTATATGCATAACTTGTAACTAAGTTTCAAACAGAGATATCATAATTATATTTTAAAAACTTTCAATTTTTCAATTTCAAATTAAATTTTTGCAAAAATTAGTATATATAGATAAACATCGACTTTATATACGTAAGAATCAATGCCATATTAATGCTAATCAAGACTACGATTAATTTTACTTAAGCTAATAAAATATGTGAATAAAATTTACCTTTGAGCGCAGAGAGATAGAAAAATTTGTGAGATCTTCACAATTCACTCTCTTGAGTGAGTGAAGTGTCGAATGAAAACCAAGAGATGTCTTTACAAAAGATTGTTCCAAAATCATTATGGATTGACGGTCGATATCAATCACACTCTTTTTGAAGTTGGAAATGAAGGCTTCTTTTTGATGCTACAGTCAATTAAAACAAACAAAAAAATTCAATATGTTTGTATGAAGACTCAAAGAATTCAGTGAAGTTATAGATAAAATCCAAAAAAATACCTGAAACGTCTTTGGTGATGGCAAAAATGATAAGAAACCTTTCCAGATATGTTCAACCAAGACTGGCATTTTTTTTCATTAAAAATGCCAATAACAGAGAAGTTGATCTTGTATGCATCAAAGATCAGAGATGTTTCAAAACCTGCTAGAAGAGCCTGCAACATTGAGAATACGCCTTAGGAGGAAGTCTCCAACTAATCCCAAGCAGAACATATGCTCCCTCAAATGATTTAATCCAGGACAATTCGGTGGATCCGAGAAAGCACCACCACTGAGGACCATTGTCGCATCAGAGATCCGAGTCCCCACATCTCGAACGAGCACAACACAGAGCCCATTCCGCAAAGAGAAAGATGTATACTCTCTTTCATTTGATGGATGTTTTCCATTGCATAAACTAGATTAAAGCTTCTTTATTTTAAGTTATCTTATCTGTATTAAGATGATTTAACTCGTCAGCTCCTGATTTCTGTTGTATTTGATTTATCCAGTGTCTAAACATCATCTGCACAAAATATGTAACTTGATCACAAAGTAAGCCAGGAAGATTCAAAAAGTAGTTTTTTGCAGAGGAAGTTTCACTATTAGCTTAAAGATCTACTTTAGTGGAAAAAACTCTTCAATTTTAGACCAAAGAAAGAAAACTTAAATTCCTAAGGAAAAACTGTTAGGATTTAAACCTACTTTGTGCTATTAAATTAGTAATAAATTTGATGCCAAAACTTATCTTTTATTCACTCTTTACAAAATAATGTTTCTCACGAAAACTTTGATTGAAGTCTTCTATTTACATCAAAGCTATTGCCTTTTCTAATCCCATTGGCTTTTGTATATTTTCCTTTTCTTAACAGATTTTGGTTAGATTCCACTGACACCAAACATGAAGAATCATAACCTCATCATTATACAATCTCATTTACCAATAATCTGTGGATTTTTGTTTTCAATTAGCAAAATCTACATAAACATTGAGAACTATAAGCTCTTTATACAATCATTTATGAGTTTTAGTCGTCACCAATATACAGGTAGCGTTTCCATATCATGCAGAAAACCGGTATTTCATCCCAATTCACAATTTTGCTTTATAGTGATCAAAGTTTAGGTCACCTAAGATGATATTCATGCTATTCATCATTGATGTTTGAAAACATAATCTCTGTGAATCTAGTTATGCTGTTGATACCCATAAATTAGGTAAAGAAAATAATAAGATGTGAAAATAATTTTACCTTTTTTCGTCAAACTAGATGCTTCTTTTTTGTGCCATTCGCTGAAATTATATTTTTTTAAAAATATTTTATTTAGAAACAAGAAAATATATTTTATTACTTTTTTCAAGTTAAATAAATTTTGAAAAGAATAAATAATCATTTGTAATTTTTTGTTTAGTATATCTTTCTAACCTAAGTGTTTTAAGTTAGTTTAATTTAATAAAAAAATCCATTTTCGAAATTTTAGTTTTTACATAAAGGGGAGATGCAGCATCTATATATCCGAATTCGTAAGCCCAGACGTTTAATGGGTTTCAGTTAGGCTCAATAGTTTGGAAGGAGCTTTTAAGGAGCTAGGCTACTCTGGTCCTGTCTCCATCACTGCCTATGGTGACCATGAAAAAACCTCTCAACACCACCTTCAAGCCCTCTCTTCCACTGGAATCGATTTTGCACATGCCACTCTTGGTTAGTTAGTTAGTCACATTTTTGGTTATAAAAAAATAATGCATGCTTGCTTTTAATTTGGTCAGCTTCAATCCCTTTACACTCTTTGGTCTTTCTTTGAATAAATAAGCTATTATAGAGAAATGAAAGTAATCATATACTTCTTGTTGTATCTTTTTTTTTTTTTCCTGGTTTCTATTTTACATCACATCCCTTTCTTTCTATCATTGTGAAAGAGAAGGGAGATGATAACTTCAGATGTATTACAGAATAACAATTTGTTTTGCATTTTTAAGGATTATGTTTTCTACTTCTGGTCATTCTCCTCATCACACAACATAACAAACTTAAAAAGAAAAGCAAAAACACTACTTAGGAATCTGATTCTTATATGCATAACTTGTAACTAAGTTTCAAACAGAGATATCACTTTCTTGAATGACATTGAGACAGGTTTCTCAGCTCTCTCTCTCTTTAGGCTTCTATCAGACTGTGTAGGACTGTTGGATGGTCTCAATGTCAAGACCTTTAAGTCTCACTACAGATTCAACGTGACCCTTGAGTGTGTGAAGCTCCCTCAACCTATAATCAAAGTGTAAAAGAGAATGAGATAAATAAATAACACATGTTACAGTTTTGTGTTCTTCTCTGACTTCACAGTAAGGAAAGAGATCAGATGAGTCTTTTACCTAGCGATCTCGGCTCTTCTCTTAGCTTCTTCAGCCATTTGAGAAAGCTCATTGAAATGGGTTCGTTCAGGGAACATCTTAGCATCTGGTGCTTGCAAGCCATGTAGTGTCCTCTGTGCATGTGCCCATTGTAACTCCCTTTGTTCTTTCCCAAAATCCTTCTTCCTAGTGAATGCAATCTATGGAAACATATACACAGACACGCTTACAATCAAAGATGTGTTCCACAATCCAAGATTATGTAACAAAGAAATGAAAATAATCTTGATATACATACCCTTTGTTCAATAACAAGATCCCAAGCTCTGCCACTAAGTGCATACCGAATCAAGAACTTGATGATGTCAAGAGGAATGTAGAAGACAATGTTGTAAAGCCAAATGACTCCAGCCCATCCCCACCCTATCCCTTCAATAGCAGCAAAGCTCCAATTTGCATAGACTGCAATTAGAGTAGCCACCTGTTTGGAAAAAAAAAATGGTTTAGAAAACATAACAGCTGCAGTTTATAAACTCTGACCACAGATAGAGTAAGTGCCACACTGACCAATTGTGCAAGGATAAAAGCTATCACAAGCAACAAGCCAGGACGTTCCACATAAGACCAGCTCCTTGACCTGGTCACAAAGATAAGCGCCTGACTTATAATGCTGACTTGTAGGTATATTGCTGAGGCAAGCTTCCTGAAATCATCATGTGCTGTTTTCTCAAGGGTGGACACTCCAAACGTTCGCTGAAACATGTGTTTAAAGGTGTTAATGCAAGGAGACAAATCAAGAAAAGGTTTGTGTTAGTGAAGAGCTGAGAGAGAGAGGAGAGATTATACCGGGAAGAAGTCAGTTTTATATGCAACCCAGAAGAATATAACTGTCATCATTGCCATGTAGCTCCCAAACACAACACCAGTTGCAAAAATTTCTGAGAGTTTCCAGCTATCTGGAAGAGGAGAAGGTTTCACCCTATCTTTTGATATTGTCATGATAGTGCCTACAAGAGTTGATCAATCAATACAGTAAGTCTTGGAACAGTTTTAAAGATAATAAAGATTGAAGAATGTAAAATGTTGTGAACTAACCATCGTTCAAGATTGCTATGATAAGAACCATGAAGGGTGGGAAGTCAAACTTCCATATGAGAGCAAGCAGCATGAAACCAAGCTGAAACCAATAAGTAGCATACATATGATTAATACCAAGTTGTAATGGTAACCTTGAGAAAAGAAAGTAAAAACAAATGGTTAACTTACAACAATACGGATTGTGATGGAAACAGCATAGATCTGTCCAGAAAAAAAAAAACAAAAAGCTAGCACAAGTTAATTGGTTTACCAAACAAAGGAACCAATGAGACTAAAACATATATGCAACCAATAAGAATGTTTAAGATAATATGGAGATTAAGAAAAAAGACAATACTCACGGTATAATTTTTCATTCTCTGGAAGATAGCACGGCTGGTCAAGACAGCACTGATGATAACACTGAGACCAGGTTCAGTCAAAACAATATCTGAAGCACTACGAGCTGCATCAGTTGCATCAGCAACTGCAATACCAATATCAGCTTTTTTAAGAGCAGGTGCATCATTTACTCCATCACCAGTCATTCCACATATATGCTTCCTTGCTTGTAGTCTCTTCACTATCTCATACTTATGCTCTGCAGTTTCATGAACACAACTTGGTTTAATGACTATGCTGGAGACAAAGTTTTTGGAAGTTAACAAAAAAAACTTTACCAGGGAAGACGCCAGCGAATCCATCAGCTTTTTCTATGAGATCATCTACAGGTAAAGCACCTATAGACTCATCCTTGTTCTGTCCAAGTAAAGCAGATGAAGGGTACATGTTGGTTCCCATCCCTAAACGCCGTCCTGTCTCTTTTCCTATAGCTAACTGATCTCCTGTAAGAGTGTCACAATGCTTTAGCATGACAAGACTACTTAAAACTTATGTTGTGTATAGAAACCAAGAATTAACCTGTGATCATTTTTACATTCACGCCAAGATTTAAAGCTCTTCTGATTGTCTCTGCACTGTCATGTCTAGGTGGGTCAAAGAGAGGCATGAGACCAATAAATTGCCAAGGACCACCAGCACTTTCCTTGGTCCCTTCAGGAACTTCCTGTTAAAAAATACAAACACTAAAATTAAATAACCTGAGAAACTTTGAGGAGATATGTTTCTCTAGTTACCTGATAAGCCACGGCAAGAGATCTCAAACCTCTTTCAGCAAACTTGTCTATAACAGCATGAACTCTCCTCTCAATCTCTGACTTATTGTGTGCAAGACTTAAGATCTGAGACATTGGCAAACATAATAAGCTATTGAAACTAAGAAAGAAGGTATAAATGGTAAACAGATAGCTTACTTGCTCAGGTGCACCTTTGCTGACTCTATGCATTTTACCATCACTGTCAATATACGTCAGAGCCGTCCTCTTATCAGTGGGATTGAACGGAAGAAAGTGAACCTCACGAACACCAGCTCTTGCCTCTTTAGGATCTGCAAGCATCCCAACAATAGCAGCATCTATAGCATCTTGGTTCTCAAGTCTTGAGGCTTGAGCTGCCATTAGAACAACAGTATCCGCATCCACTCCTTTTGTGAAAACCTATATACAAAAAAAAAAACTTGTGCTCATTCATGTAATAAGCATTTATCTGAACAAGCCTAACATACCTCAATGAGATTTTTGTCAACAGTGAGTTTATTCAACGTTAAGGTTCCTGTCTTGTCACTGCAAAGCACATCCATGCCAGCCATTTCCTCAATAGCTGTCATCCTCTTGGTTATTGCTCCCTGCTGAGATAATCTATGAGAGCCAATAGCCATGGTCACAGACAGAACCGTTGGCATGGCTATGGGGATGCCACCAATGAGGAGAACAAGAAGGTTATCAATCCCAGGGCGGTATGCTCTGTGTTGAATTGGATACATCACTACAATCTCAATTAACATCCCTACTGCTATAGAGCAGATGCAGAAGTTCCCAATAGCAGTTAAGACCTGAACACAGAAAACAAAAGTATTAGGCTATTAGCATACTCTCTGAACCAACCATATACAAATGAATCATACTAACCTGTTGAAAATGGCCAACTTGGTTGGTTGTGTCAACAAGATGAGCAGCTTTTCCGAAGAAGGTGTGGACTCCTGTTGCAATCACAACTGCTTCAAGCTCTCCTTGTTTGCAAGTGGAGCCTGAGTACACACCATCCCCTGGACCTTTGGTTACTGGGAGAGATTCACCTGTAAGAGAAGACTACATAACAAAAAAGGTTCACAAAAGCTTCAGTACTAATAATTAAATGTTTATGCACCATAAGATGTAAGTTGTATCAGGTTTCAGACCTGATCAATCTTAAGAGGGTCTCCCTCTAGAAGGCGAGCATCAGCAGGAACAATGTCTCCAAGCTTGATGCTGATAATGTCACCAGGGACAAGAATTGCAGCATCTTGCTCACCCCACCTTCCATCTCTCAGTACCTTCACAAAGTTTTGTGACAAAGAGATGCTTAAGAGACGTTTTTAAAAAATACTATGACATTTGAAGACAATATTAAACCTTTGCTTTGGGAGCAAGACGAGCCATGAGAGCAGCAGCAGCATTACCAGCGTTGTTCTCCTCAATGAAACTGATGGTAGAGTTTATCACAAGCAGAGTAATGATACCAACAAAGTCTTGCCAATCAGGAGGCTTCCCCTGAAGAATCATCAACACAAAGAGAAAATTAAGATTATTTTTATAAAGAGTTAAACTATGCAAACATGTAAAGAGGGTCTAAAGTATGCTCACTCCTCCATTAGCAAGTGCAATAGCCATGATGGCAGCAGCTTCCATCACCCATGAAAGAGGGTTCCACATGAAACCTAGAAACTTCAGAAATTTACTTTCCTGCAAAAGAAAAAAAAAACAAAATTTACTCCTTAAGACATAGAAAAGTATAATTCTTTTGGAGCTATATGCCATGACATATTCAAGAATAAACCCATAGAATCCAAAGTTACACTTAAATACACATAAAGCTAAAACCTTTTTCTCTTCAAGCTTGTTGTGACCAAAGAGGGCAAGCCTCTCATCAGCAGCTGCTGTAGTGAGACCTTCTCTGCTACATCTCAGACTCTCAAAAACTTCTTCAATAGGCACATTTTCCTTCAAAACAAAAAACCCATAAGACTCTTTCTCTACAAGAAAAGTTCAAATTTAGAGAAACAGAACAAAGAGTAGATCTATTACCAGATCCACTGTTTCTTTCAAAACAGCCTCAAGAACCTCTTCCTTGTCTCCCATGTTCTTCTCCTTGCTCCAAGAAAAAAAAACAAATAATTTATCAGAAGAAGCAGACACTACAAGAAAACTTCAGTACCAAGAAAGAAAAAGTTGGATGCGTAGAAGAAACCTGTGATTGTTAGGCCTTCTTCTTTGGTGTTTGAGAGAAACAAGAAATGAAAGAAGAGTAGAGAAGATGAGGAAACCGCTAAAGGTTAGTGGCAGTATGGGAAGCTAACACACACACTCTGCCCCACTCTAATATCCTTTCCTTTTTTCCTTTTTAATTAATTAACGTTTTTTATTACTTCCTTTTTCAACATTTTTTCTCCTTTGGGTCAAAATCTTTAACTACAATTGGTAATAAATAATTAACTAATAAGTTTAGAAATTTATTTACTTTTCTTTTTAATGGATGAGATGGTTTTATTCGAAATGCAGTAAATATGATTATTGCTACTTGGAATAGCTGTAATTATAATAGCTAAAACTATATAGTTGTAATTATTAAGTGTTAAGGTGTGTAGCTGCTAAATTATTAGCTACAAGTACGATTTTTAAGAATAAAATCAGTTTAAAAATATTTTAAACGTTATGCATCTGTAATTATTGGCCACTAGTATGTTTGGCAGATTCATAGAATTAAATAATGCCATTTTAGGTACTTGAATACAAAAATCCAGTAAAAATTAACATTTAGGCAAAAAAATCAGTAAAACCACAACTCCAATATTTTTATTACCGTTTTCAGAACAAAACACCATTATTATGTTAGATGTTTCATTTGTATAAGCCCTCCAACTTCATGCAAATAGGTCAAAAATAAGTAACGTACACGAAACCCAGCTCATGTTTCTTGTGACTCAAAACTATATACAAATACATTTAAATGAAGTAGTTTTGTCCCAACCAAAACACTTAAAAAAGATCATTACAAAAAGACAATGTAAACAACTAAAACGTTAAATCAAGTTTGTAGTGTTTGGTAAGATTAAGTTGCCATTTAGAAGAGTACAACCTTTAAGAGTGAAGTTTTGCAAAATGTAGGGTTTGAATATGACCATTGGTATAAATCATTACAATAAATAAATGATACTAGATGGGTAAATAAATGCGAATGGGGCCGAGAAACAGCCATGTCCCATGTGCATAAAAAATTGTAACCATATGATGTCAGCATCATAAGGCGACACGTGTCAGTGGAAAGAAACCGTTCACAGTTTACCACACACAAGCCAAAAAAACAAAAAACACAACCCACGTGAAGCGACCTTTGTTGTGTGTTTTATTCTTTTCAATTAATAAGAAAGTTTCTTTTTATCTTATTTTTTTTTTTGTAAAAAGGTACCACCAATTGAATTCCGTACGGTACCTGTCCGTAAAGAGAGACTGTTTCCCACTACATTGATGAATTTTTTCTTCTTATCCTTCCTCTTTTGTTTCTTTGTTTTTTTCATTTTAGTGAATTAATAATTCATACGAATGTTTTGCGTAGTTGTTCAGTATTTCTCGCTTACCAAATTCTCTAATATATGGTATTCTGGATATAGTATTTTTGTTTAGATTTCAAGAGCATAAATTTTCATCATAACTTATCTTTGGGTCAAATGCTGGATTTCAGGTTTGTAATTACATTTAAAGCTAATAAAGAAGGCCTTAAAGAAGGCCCAACTACATTTTGTTGTTAGCCTGTTTACCAAAAACGAGAAATAAAAATAAATAATGGGCCTTTTACAAATAAAAGCCCACTACTAGCCTGTTTTGATATCATGAACTTAATGGAGATAGATCGGAGGGAGAGTGGAGATGAAGACGACCAAAGGAGGAAAAAATGATTTGTAAATGTTTAAAAACATTAATTGAATATAACTGAAATCTTTAACTATTATTGGTTCATAGCAATGAGAAATAATTTAGAAGTAGAAAAGAAACACAATACTATTAAAATTCTTAAAAGAAATAAGTTTACATATGAGATTCAACACGTAAATGTTGATGTGGAGGATCACATCGAGAACAAACACATTGGTTGAAAACACACCGTGTGATAGAACATCTCGGACAATGATTATGACACACATTGTCGTTGTTGCAAGACCCTCCACGTTGTATTGTTACGTGCGTAGGGTTAGGGTCACACTGAGAACAAACACATTGCTTGAAAACACACCGTGTGATAGCACATCTTGGACAATGATTATGACAAACATTGTCGTTGTTACAAGATCCTCCACGTTGTATCGTTACATCTCTCATTTCTTCACTAACTCTTGCTTCTCCTTCGAATGCACCTAATATAAAAATACACATTGAAGTTTGAATAGTTATGATCATGATTCATCTAGGTTTCCTATAATAAAGTGGAAACTAAGTTAACTAACTTATATTTGGACATCGGTTATCATGTAAAACAACAAAGAACACTTAGGAAAATGAGATTAAACTAAATATGAAGTTGGAAGATGGACTTACATGAAAGGGACAAGAAGAGGACAAGAAGCATAACTTTACTTGACACCATTTGCTTCATTTCTAATAGTATTGACTCTCACTTAGCATACTCATTCTTCATTTATATACAGTTTCATGCACATATACGAGTTCTTGCCAAGAATATACACTTATTGTTATTGCAATCACATATTTAATGGAGGAAATTTGGAATATTTAATATGAAATCTCCATGATTGACTTTTGTGAAAAAAAAACGCCATGAAATTTCCATAATGTTTTGCTTTGAGTGCAAATATCCTGGATTGACAAATTGACAATCAATTGGGATATTCTCCATGGCTTGAAAAGATACTACAATAGAACATCTATAAATTAATAATATTGAGACTTTAAACATTTATTAATTTATAGATATATTAATTTATAAAAGTTTTTTTTTAGATTTTTTTTCTTCTATTTTTAAATATTTTTATTTATAATAAAAATATTTGATTTTACTGTATATACATTATTTAAATTTTAAAAATTTAACTTTCAGATTGTTTTATTATCATATTTAGTGTATATTTTTTATGTTAGAATTTTATGTAGTTTTTTATATAATTTTACTAAATATTATCAAAATATATTGAAATGTTAACAAAAATAGAAGTATTTTCATTGTGATTATAAAACCAACAATATAATGTTTAGTTTGTACTTATATAAAAATATATATCTAAATTATTAATTTATGATTTTTATAGAACTATATATTTGCATGAAATTTTTAAAAATATTATTATCTTATTATTTTATCGATTTGTGTCATATTTTATAATAATCTAAGTTGGAACTAGTAAAATTTATTAATTTATAAAAATTATTAAATTATCGAATATTAATTTATAGAGATTCTACTGTAACGAGTTTAAATTAATCGGTTATAGGCGTGAGAGTTTATGAATGAATAAAGAGGTTGCGATTTCAAACTAATGAAACGAGAGATATCGTTTCATAATATGTAGCCAGGGCCATTAGCATAAGATGGATAATCTTCCTCTGGCCATTCCTGGAAACACAAGACAATTAGCATATGAGAAATAAAGCATGATAAGTAACTCGTTAAGCCAATGATCATAAGCTTATACCTCATAATCTCATATGTAACAGCCCGTATACCCTGGCGAAGAGGTTTGTGATAGTAATTGATGTTGCCAATGTATAGACTTCTATCATCAAGTGTTTTCTTCGCTTCACTAAGAACTGCATCCACTTGTACAAATGTATCATCATCACACTTCATGATGTACTTAGCAGCAAGCTGATGAGCCTGCACAACAGTGAATCAAACAAACCCTACCTTCAAAATACTTTATTTTGTGTAGCTTCTTACGTTAAGAAACGGTTTTATTTCTGTCGTCCTTGGGACATGAGGACAATGGAATTTCTATGCAGAGCATGCAAAGTTTTTATTTTACTTGTCTCTTCTTGTTCCTATGTTTACTAGACATTACATGTCTATGCCAATATGCGAATATCTAAAATCTTTTCTGGATGAGAATTTCGATAAAGGGCAATTTACTAATTAAGAGATGGCAATGGTTGAAATTATGTTTGTAGGTACGTACTTCTAGAAGATACATAGTTAGAGAAAGCAGAGAACTTTCAAGAACTTGTTCAGGCAGCTTTGAAGTCTTTTGAGTTGAATCTGGTTGCTCATGTATCCAAGAGATGAAGAAAAGAAAGAAAGAAAGAAGAGTGAGCAGAGAGCCATAGAAGAAGGTTGATTTTTGCATAGACCCCTTTTGATGGTTCTCCATTTAATCGAGTTTTGGATAGAAATTATTATAAAAAGGAGTTATTAGGACTGGACCAAAGAAATCATTAAGCATGCTAAAACTGCAATGATCTATGTACATCATGTGTCAAGTTTCCATAATTCATCCTTGTCCTTACTGTCACATGTATATGAATCAATTAGCCTATCTAGGTCACAAATGAAGCCTATATATGGATAACATTAATTTATGCCCCAGCCATAAGGTCTTGTCCTATGATTGTGTATTTCCAAGTAGAACAAACAAGAAACATATGTTGATGTTTGATCTAATAACTATCTTGTGTCTAACTAGTTAGATGTAAAATGTTTTTCAGTCTTCAGTCATATATATACATACATATTATGAAACAATAATTTTGTTCAATACTTTGGGCTTCCTCTTGTCTATATTTAATCTACCAATAAACCAGGATTGGTTACTAAAATTTGTTTACTCGATTCTCATTGTATCACACGGAATGTTTGTAGAAAGATTCAGAGTGTGCTGCCATCTGACATCTTCACACGAATTGTCTGACCTTTGACCAAAAGCTAAAACTCCCACTTGAGATTTAAACATCTTTTCTTGGTAAAAAATACTTAAACATCTATATCTATTCTTCTTTTCACATCACACGCACGTTGCTTGTCTCTAAGATTGAATGTGTCACGCCCACTCGTCCACAAATTTATGTACTTTCACAAAATCAATTTCCGAGAAATATGTCAATTCTAATAGAAGAAATAAACACATACAACTAGGCCTGAGCGTTCGGGGCCTGTTGGATTCGGTTTGCTTGATTTCGGTTTTCGGATTTTCGATACCATGTGCATAAGTCTCATTCGGGTTTTACTAATTATCGGGCCGGGTTCGGTTCGGTTCGGGATCGAGTTATAACCAATGTATAAAATCGTTCAAAAATATTTTTTAAAATTTTAAAAATTGTTAAAAAAATACTCAAAATATTTAAATTATTCACAAAACTAACTAAAAACAAACCAAACTACATAAATTAGTTAAAATTTATTCAAAATAACAAATAAAATAAACTATTAAAATTTTAAAATATTATAAAACATATAAATTTCTTTAACATATATAAAAATAGTAACATATTTCACAAATTTCGGATATAGTCGGATCCAAGTTTGGATTTCGGTTCGGTTCGGGTTATACTCATACTCCAAAGTACCAAGTTCTCAAGTCTCGTTCAGATATTCTTATATAACGGTTCGGATCCGATTTCGATTTTTTCGGTTCAGGTTTAGGTAAGGAGTTCGGTATGGGGTAAAAACGCCTAGGCTTACATACAACTTCAACATAAAAATAAGATAGCATTAACCAAACAAAAAGAGAAGTAAAGAGAATAGAGGAGATTATAAAAGAAAAAAAACAATGCAAAACATTAGAAATCTCTTTACAAACAAATGGACATTTCACTTTTGTCATTTGATATTACAAAAACAATAATCACATATTACAGACCACTCACATTAATAATATACACACATTTATATCAAACAAAAAAAAGCAAAATAACAACATTTTACCCAAAATGGTAAAGAGGAAAAAAAGAAGATTTTTTTTTCTTTTTAAAAAGCTAGAATTGAGAAGAACAAGCAAAACCCCCATTTTGCCCTCCCTGAAACTGAGTCCGACTCAAACCACTCGCTTCCATCATCCTGTTCCACTCACGCGCCTCCACATTTCCCCCAAACTCACTCTCTCCTCCTCCTCTCATCGCCTCCAGAATCTTCCCCACCTTCTCCTTCACACGCGCATTCCCACTCTCCTCCACCTCCTTCAACACCTCCTCAGCTCCAGCCTCACTCGCCAACCCTCTAAACCTCAAATTCCCCTGACAAAGCGTCAACAAAACCGCCACACAATTCTCACGCGCCGCCTCATCTCCCCCTCCTCCTCCTTCCCTAAGCTTCCCCACCAAAATCCCCACCGCGTTTCCCTCCAACATCGCTCCTTTTCCATCCGGACACGCCGCAACATTACAAAGCACCAACAGTATCCTACTTACCGAGTCCCCAGACCTAACCATAGACAGTAAAATCCCCACCGCACCCGCTTTAACCAGCCTAGTTCGGTTACTCGGAATCAACGACAAGTGGTAGAGCGCGAGAGCCGCGTCTCCACGCGCTCTCTCACTCTCCGAAGCCCTGAGCGCGTGGAGTAACGGCTCCACGGCTCCTAAAACACCAATCACCATTTTATTCTCATCCTCAAGCGCCAAACTAAACAAAGCCCCCGCCACGTGTTCCTGCGCCTCAACCGTTCCGGATTTCAACACGTCTATCAACAAAGGCANTGGTAGAGCGCGAGAGCCGCGTCTCCACGCGCTCTCTCACTCTCCGAAGCCCTGAGCGCGTGGAGTAACGGCTCCACGGCTCCTAAAACACCAATCACCATTTTATTCTCATCCTCAAGCGCCAAACTAAACAAAGCCCCCGCCACGTGTTCCTGCGCCTCAACCGTTCCGGATTTCAACACGTCTATCAACAAAGGCACGAACCCTGACCGCACGATCTTCACTTTGTTCTGCTTCTCCAACGACAGGTTAACAAGAGAAGCCGCTGCGTTTGTCTGAACGAGATTGTACCGCGAAACGAGAAGCTGTCGGAGAAAGGAGAGGATCCTGTCGGTGCAGAGAGATAAACGAAGCTCCTCGCTTGTTCTCGTCATCTTGCGGAGGAGTATCAGTCCTTGCTCGTGGTCGAAAATGTCGGCGGCTCGTAGCTTATTATAGATCTCTTCTTCCTCCGCCGTCATCGGAGCCACCGCCGCCGCACCCGCCGCCGACGACGAGGAAGAGTGATCGGAGGAGGGAGAGAAAGATGAGTTATCAACTCCTGATAAAGAAGAAGTAGTTGAGGAGGTAGAGAACGTCGTAACGGCTCTTGTCGGAAAAAACGGGCTTTGTCGGATCGTAACTGACTCAACTGACGATGTTGTTGTCGGAGAATTTGGTTTCTTAGATCTAGCTCTGATTAGTTCCATCACAGCATCGTAATCAGAAGGTAAATTCTCCTCAACAGGAGGAAGAATCTCATGCTCCGGATCCGGGTTTGGATCCGGGTTCGGATCCGGATCTTTACTCATCCGGGTCCGGACCACGTTTTCCACGTAAGCAGGGTCAGGAGGACGAGGGTGGTCGATTTTTTTACGGTCGCACCAGCTGAAGATGGTTGATCTCATGGCTAAGTTGGGTATGACGGTGGAGAAATCGGGTCGGGTACCATCGAGAAGATCCGGGACGAAGTTTAAGTTGCGACAGATTTGGACGGAGAGACGCTCGAAGGTTTGACCAGAGGGGACGACGACGGGATCAGACATGAGGAAGCCTGTGATGGGACAGAGGAACTCTGGTGGGGTCTCGTCGTGTTTGTGTTGTGGGATTGTTGTGGCGGTGGCGGAGGCGGAGCGTTGGTGGAAGGAGAACCATCTTTGTCTGTTGGTTCCACCCATTGGCAAGAGGAGGAACAGAAGAAGAAGAGATGAAGCAGGTGTTTGATGGAGTTTAAATGGTTTTTTTTTTTTTTAGTGAATCTTATTAAAAGTAATCAAACAAAAAGGAAATGGTAACGCTGATGGTAACTAGTCTGACTTTTTCTTGTTGGTTTACTTTACTTTTTGATATTAATAGTGTAAAGTTGATGATTATTAATGGACACCACATTATCATTTACACTTTGGATAAAATTGGTATTCTTTTGTGGATTACAAACTATGAATCTATTAATATATATTCTTATTTAATATAGTATATGATTAATTAACTAAAAATGATTTGTGTAAATTTATTGGTTATAAAAGGTATATGATATAAATGACATTTTTTCTGAAAAAAGAAAATAATTTTAGAATGATATTATTTTTTTAATCTAGAGAAATAATAGAGTAGTAAAACTTTAGACCTTAAAACTGTATGTTACCAACACTGAAAAGGATTTGTTGAGGGAGTGATGTACCACTTTATGAGGTAATCCAAGTCCTTGGTAGTTACAAACTGAAGAGTAGGCCGACTAAATACACACTTTATGATTTAATCTATCTTTTTAATTGCACACTATAATGATAATTGGCGATGACCGACAATCTCAGGCGTGTTACATGCTCAGAAAACGAGAAAACAATATCCTTTTCAAATAAAGTTTCTATAATGTATATAACGCTCTTCGGTAAGTGAAATAAAATAAATTATGTTGTTTCTAGTGTGAAAAAGTCGGATTATGACAGAAGCGATTAGATAAAAAAAAACAAGAACATGACATCCACTAGGAACATGTCTTTGTTTTGGTTTAAATGTCTTTTTACTCATTTAGGATTTAGCCAACGCTTTGATTGTTTGTGTACAAAACACAATGAGAATAGCTAGGATACTCTTCTTCACATTTTCCTTTTAAGAAAAAATATTATACCATATATAAAAGTTTTAAAGAAGGCTAAAGTTTAATACTAATGTTTATTATTAATTGCACTTATTTTAAACAAGGTTTATAATAATGTTTATTATTAATTGTACATATTTTAAACATACTGCGAATCAAAATTGATACAATAATATAGTATAATTTGTGGTTTACAGCCGACTAAACTATGTCTATCATAAGTTTATAGCATTACAAAATCATAAGAAAATTTTATTTAATGTAAAAGCATTACATCTTTCATTGTAATAAGATGATAGAGTGTTTTCAGACTATTACACTGAGCCCAACCAAAGCCCAACTTTGAGAAACATTAATGGGTTATCATATTTTAAAAAGCCCTAACACGAGCTTGCTCATTGCAGGTTGAATGATTTGTTCAAGGTGTACATAGTTGCAAGTTTATTAGCTTGTTTTTGCAATTATGTGCTGTTTTCTATTGGAGTTTGATGATTCATAGTTTGAAACTTATAAAATCCAATTTTATATGACATAAGAAGATAAAAACTATTCACTCTCAAGTTTCTCAACAGTCAATACAAATAGAATCACAATAGTATTAAGCATAGCTCTGCTCCACAATCTCCATAACCCTCCTGTTATACTCTCTTTTGTTCTCACTGAACAACCTCGCAGCTTCAGAGTTTGCTGGCGAGTTAGGATTTGGATCACAAAGCAGAGACTGTAAACAAAACAAAACCAAGATGTTAGTTAGTTTATGCATAAACTTACAATGCAAATTGTCAAAAAAAAAAACCTGAATTGATGTGAGGATTGCTGAGACATCATATATGGGACTCCATTGGTTTTGTAATATATCCAAGCAAATGCTTCCATCAGCATAAACTGCAACAAAGTTCAAAACATCAAATCAAGAACTTATCTTTTGGGCATTAAACTATTATTAGTGCTTACTGTTTGGATGAAACATCCGTGAAACAAAGCGAACTACTGGTGGTTTGTTTGGGTAATCCTCAGTGAACTGAAGAGTCAACTTGAAAGTACCTAAAACAGATTTAACAACATGAACTTTTAGCTTAATATTTATAATGAAACATGTCTGAAGCAATAAGACAGAGTTTACCTCCATCCCATGGACTATCATCAGGTCTGTAAAAAATACAATGAAGAAAAAAAAATTGTTTATAGTGAAGAAAAACAAAATAAAAATGGTTTAAAGAATTGTATATACCCAAAGATGAGAGCATTCCAGTGCATGATGTTGTTATCTTGAGGAGCTCCACTAATCCCCAAAGGAGGATCTTTCTGGAGTCTCTTGAAGTCCCACATAAGTCTCTTTCTAGCTGGAGTTGCCATTGCTTAAAAACAAACAAACAAGACTTTATTGAAATTGAAAGATTACAAGTTTAACTCTTTATGGTTTTTTTTCTCAAAAAAAGTATTATCATTATTCTGATAAAGTTTTCATCTTTCTTGAACCCTCAAAAGCAGAAAGAACAAGATCTAAGTTTATACAATCAGAAAAGTCTAATTGAGAGATTCAGAGAAGATAGACTAACCTGAAATTTAAAAGCTTGATGAAGAAGAATACAGTTTTTTTTTCAATATTTAATAGACTTACAAGTTTTGGGAGAAAAAAAGAGATGATGAGAAAATGAGTAGAGGATAGCAGAGATTTAGAGAGAATCAGAGAAGATATTTTTTTCTTTTCTTTGCTTCACCTTATAAGAAATGAGAAAAGACAAAAAAAAAAGGATATTTATATTAAAATTATTTTCTTCCATATTATTATTTTATTGAATGGTTTAGCGTAAAGACCAAAACAAATTTGGTCAAATTAATACCTTACTGATTAAGATTGATGGTGATGGACACTAATCCATCCCCTCTTCTTTTTTAATAAGACAAAAATGTTTCTTTCTCATAATGAGTCATAAGGGTTAAATAGTTAGCAAACTAAATCTATGGGGATAAACAGTAAAAAGTCATGAAATTAGGGAATAATCTGTAAATATATAAAAATCACAAAAACACATCACTCTCAGTATTCTTACCAACCTTGAATCCTTCAAAAACGTCTGAATATTCATCTCTTCTCCGTCTCTTGTGGATCTCTAACACAATGTACAAAGCTTTAGCGAGCAGAGCTAAGTCTCTCTGTGACACCAAATCATCAACCTTCCTTGCTTCTTTCACCTCTTCCAGGTTTTTCAATCATCGCCAAAATTTTGTGTCTTTTTATAAAATTTAATTAAAAATTACATAAAAAGACATAAACTTTATCAAGTTGGTGTAATAAAAATCTGATCTTTACATAATCGAGTTTCCGCATCCGACAGTCTCTATGTAATAAACATAACTTTTGCAGATTGAAACATTCATTACCATTTGCTACCGTTGATGCTGAGGAGATCTCTGGTTCTCACCCTGGTGAAGTACAGAGTTTTGGTAATAATGTCTTCACTTAACTTCTCAGAGTTTTGATTGGTTCTTGAAGTCATGTTAAATGATTAAAAGCTTCTTTTTTTATATTATATAGTGCAAGGAAAGTGGATAGGTTCTTCTAACTATAACACGCTTCTTGATCCTCTCAATGGAGAACCTTTTATTAAAGTTTCTGAAGTGGATGAATCAGGTGTTCAGGTATTAGTCTTTTGAGTTATTACAGCAACGTTTGTATGTATCCAAGTCACTATTCTAACTTTATTTCTCTTCTCTGTTGTTTTAATGTTGCAGCCATTTGTTGAGAGCTTGTCACAGTGTCCTAAACATGGTCTCCATAACCCTTTTAAATCTCCAGAGAGGTATACTTTTTGCTAGGGATCTAACAAGCTTTTCTGATTATAATCTATTTGGTTCCTTGAGCATATACTAAAAATCAATGTTCAAGAAATTGCTAGGTCGTAACTAGACAATTTTTTTTTGTGAAATTATTGATTAAGCGGCGATTTTTTGAACATTTCAACGAATTTAGTTATAGAAAAAATGATTTTTTTTTATGTTCAATTTGTCATCTAGACTGATTTTTAGAACACTGTCATGTTTTTCGAAGGTACCTTTTATATGGAGATATCTCCACCAAGGCAGCTCATATGCTCGCCTTACCTAAGGTAACATATGTTTTGTTTATTTTGAAAAATTTTAAAGTTAGATTTCTTGAATAATTTTGTGTACTGAGCTACTTGTTGTTTGTTGTTGTGTTTTTTATGTACACTATTAGGTATCTGATTTCTTCACGAGGTTGATTCAAAGAGTTGCTCCAAAGAGTTACCAGCAAGCTGAGGGAGAAGTCTTTGTCACAAGAAAGTTCTTAGAGAACTTTTGTGGTGATCAGGTACAAGCAATGTACATTCATTAATGTGGCTGAATCTGTAAAGTTACATCTTTTAAATAATTTTTTTAATGTTTCTGCTTTCACTTTCTTTTTTTAATCAGGTGAGGTTCCTGGCAAGGTCTTTTGCAGTACCTGGGAACCATCTTGGCCAGCAAAGTCATGGCTACCGTTGGCCTTATGGTCCTGTAAGTCATTCTTTACTAGATACTTTTTTAACTTTGACACTTCTGTTTTTGAAACTGTGGAGTTATTTATGAGTTATGATACAGGTGACAATTGTTACACCATTTAATTTCCCACTTGAGATTCCTCTACTTCAGTTAATGGGTGCTTTATACATGGGCAACAAACCTCTTCTTAAAGTTGACAGCAAGGTATAATAACTATACTATCCTTGTGTTTTGTCTTCTTCACACATTAAGAAACTATCAATAGTCTCTGTTCATGATTAGGTGAGCATTGTAATGGAGCAAATGATGAGATTGCTTCACTACTGTGGTTTACCTCTTGAAGATGTTGACTTTATAAACTCTGATGGCAAGACTATGAACAAGATATTATTAGAGGTTTGTGTGTTTTCAGAACTCACAAGCTTATTAGTCTCCACATGTTTTGCTTAATTTTGTTAACTCTTATCCAGGCCAATCCAAGGATGACACTCTTCACTGGTAGCTCTAGAGTAGCTGAAAAGCTGGCACTTGATCTCAAGGGTAGGATCAGATTAGAAGATGCTGGATTTGATTGGAAAGTATTGGGACCAGATGTTCAGGAGGTTGATTACGTTGCATGGGTTTGTGATCAAGATGCATATGCCTGCAGTGGACAAAAGTGTTCTGCACAGTCTATGCTTTTCATGCATGAGGTTTGTTTGGTTTGATTCTAAATCTTTTTGGCTACTTCCAAGTTTCTTTAACTTATCTTTCTTGTTCTTACAGAACTGGGGGAAAACCCCTCTTGTTTCAAAACTAAAAGATCTTGCCGGAAGACGGAAACTAGAAGACTTAACCATTGGTCCTGTCCTAACAGTTAAGTTCCATTCATTATGTCTGCAACCATCTACTGAGATTGTGTCACTAAAACTGTTTCTTTTCATTTTTGAAAGTTTACAACTGAGGCAATGTTGGAGCACATGGAGAATCTACTTCAGATTCCAAACTCAAAGCTACTCTTCGGTGGGAAGCCATTAAAGAACCATTCAATTCCTTCTATCTATGGAGCCTTGGAGCCTACTGCTGTTTATGTTCCCATTGAAGAGATCTTGAAGGATAATAATACTTATGAACTCGTCACCAAAGAGATTTTTGGGCCGTTTCAGATTGTAACGGAATACAAAAAGGATCAACTCCCTCTTGTGTTGGATGCTTTAGAGAGGATGCATGCTCATTTAACTGCAGCTGTTGTTTCAAATGATCCCATCTTTATCCAGGCAAGTCACTTTCACCATTATCAATCAATCAATATGTTTTGTCAAAAGTGTAATGATGTGAAAAATGGGTGCAGGAAGTGATAGGGAACTCAGTGAATGGGACTACTTATGCTGGACTTAGAGGAAGAACAACTGGTGCTCCTCAGAATCACTGGTAAGAGAAACATAAATCTCAATCTTTCATCTTATGTAGAAGGTTAATAATATTATGTTGCAACAGGTTTGGACCGGCAGGGGATCCGAGAGGAGCAGGGATAGGGACACCAGAGGCTATAAAGCTGGTGTGGTCATGCCACAGAGAGATCATCTATGACTATGGACCGATTCCACATGGTTGGGAGCTTCCTGCATCGACTTAAAGAAGTGTGTGTGTGTGTGTGTGTGTGTGTGTGTGTGTGTGTGTGTGTGTGTGTGTGTGTGTGTGTGTGTCTGTGTGTGTGTGTGAGTTCACTATTATGAAATAAATTAGGCACTTAGTAAAAGCTGAGAGTTAGGTAGTTTTACCTCTGATTAAGAGAGTGAGAGCTATGGTTATGACATGTGAGTCTCAAGAGGATCTTTTTTTTTTGTTTTGGATAATAAAGTCATCGAGTGAGTTATACCATTTCATGTTTTGGATGTTGTTTGTTTCCTGGTTTAGATGAGAGCTTATTGCTTCAATAGGAATGGAATCTTGGTAATGAGAAGATATTTGGTAAGAACATCCATCCATCCATCCATCGTTGGACCTCTTCCAGGTTCAGTATCTCTGGTATGTGATTGGTTTATGCACTCAAATCTCCCAGAGGATAGCTTTAGGCATGAGAGCATCTTTGTAGACATAGGGAAGTTTGCTGTTGATCCCATGCTGCGTGATTGTTAAGCTGATTGCTATAGTTTTCTTCTGCTCCTCTTAGAATATCTGGCTTGTGGAGTAGTATATGTACTGACAACCGTTGAGAGGATTGCAAATGCTAGCTTCTCCTACTCATGGTTCATTTATCAACTTATGTGCCTCTGAAGATGCTACATTCGTTCAGCATTTTTTTAAAGATGTTGGTTCTCTCTTGACATGCAACACTTGATGTTCTTGTTCACTGTTACCTGAGAGTTTCCTTTTGGTACTTTCTGGGACTTCAAGAGCTTTGATAGACT